TGCAATTTGCTATGTTGAGACCATGAACTTAGATGGGGAAACTAATTTGAAGCTTAAACAGGCATTGGATGTTACTTCATCGTTACATGAAGATTCGCTCTTCAAAGACTTTAAGGCTTTAGTTAAATGTGAAGATCCTAATGCTAATTTGTATACTTTCGTTGGAAGTATGGAATACGAAGAACAACAGAATCCTCTTTCTCCCCAGCAATTACTCCTCAGAGACTCTAAATTGCGCAACACAGAATACATATATGGGGCCGTCATCTTTACTGGTCACGACACTAAGGTCATGCAGAATGCGACAGATCCCCCTTCTAAAAGAAGCTAGATCGAGAGGAAAATGGATAGAATCATTTACTTCTTATTTGCAGTTTTGTTCACAATTTCTTTTGTTGGATCAGTCTACTTTGGAATTGTAACTAAAGAGGATCTAGATGGTGGACATAAAAGGTGGTACCTGCAACCCGATAGATCAGAAATTTTCTTTGATCCGAGAAGAGCTCCTGCTGCTGCCGTTTACCATTTCCTGACAGCTATAATGCTGTATAGCTACTTGATTCCGATCTCCTTGTATGTATCGATCGAAATTGTTAAAGTCCTTCAGAGTATCTTCATTAATCAGGATATTAACATGTACCATGAAGAAACTGATAAACCAGCACATGCTCGCACCTCAAATCTAACTGAGGAACTCGGCCAGGTTGACACAATTCTTTCCGATAAAACTGGCACACTGACTTGTAATTCAATGGAGTTTGTCAAGTGTTCTGTAGCGGGAACTGCTTATGGACGTGGTATTACAGAAGTTGAAAGGGCCATGGCTAAAAGAAATGGATCTCCACTGCTGAAAATAGGTAAGGATCATGTTGAGGATGGTGCAGTTAGTCCTAGGAAGTCCACTGTTAAAGGCTTCAATTTTGAAGACGAGAGAATCATGAATGCGAATTGGCTTTTTGAGCCTCATTCAGATGTAATACAGAAGTTCTTCCGTTTATTAGCAGTCTGTCATACAGTCATACCAGAAGTAGATGAAGGTACAGGCAAGGTTGCATATGAAGCCGAGTCTCCAGATGAGGCAGCCTTTGTCATTGCTGCTAGAGAAATTGGTTTTGAATTCTATAAGAGGACGCAAACAAGTGTGTCGGTGCATGAATTGGATTTGGCTTCTGGACAGAGAATTGAGAGGTTAGTTAACTTAAAGCATGTTTTTTCAATATATGTTATCAGCATCTTTAGTTTTCTGAAAGAATAGCATCTTGCAGCCTAGTGCCGGTGACATTTCTTGGTGATTTTCAAAATGATGTTTAATCTCTCTGAAACACTTTAGACAATGAATGTTAATTATGTTTTTTTCTGATATTTTATACAGTGGTATGAACATAAGCCAATTTTTTTCTTAAGAGTAATCATAAAGATCTTTGTTTACAGGTCATATAAGATTTTGAACGTTTTGGAGTTTAATAGTACAAGAAAAAGGATGTCCGTCATAGTAAAGGATGAGGATGGAAAGATCTTGTTACTCTCCAAAGGTGCTGACAGGTTAGTCAAGTTGCAACTTTGCATTCGCCATAAATTCCTTAAAACTCTTATTTTAGTTACGGACCTAGTTTTAATGCAGTATCATGTTTGAAAGACTTGGAAAAAATGGAAGAGAGTTTGAAGAAGAAACAAAGGAACATGTGAATGAGTATGCCGATGCAGGTTTGAGGACCTTGATACTGGCTTATCGTAAACTCAGTGAAGAAGAATACAAAACTTTCAATGAAAAATTTTTAGAGGCCAAGAATTCAATCAGTGAAGACCGTGAAACAATCATTGACGAAGTAACAGATAATATAGAAAAAGACTTGATTCTTCTTGGTGCTACTGCTGTGGAGGACAAACTTCAACCAGGGGTAAATTCTATGAAGCCACATAACTGTTTCCGAACATTGTTGATTGATTTATATTGGTTGATAATTGACATATTTGGTTGTATATTGACTTTTCTGTTTCTATTCATGCTATAGGTTCCGGATTGCATTGACAAACTGGCTCAAGCAGGCATAAAAATTTGGGTTTTGACTGGGGATAAGATGGAAACAGCCATTAATATCGGGTATAGTAATGGATTGCGAGTTTTTGTATTTCTTATTTGATACAAGCTTTGCTTGTCCAAACAATTCTGACCAAACCGTCTTCTGCAGTTACGCATGTAGTTTGCTTAGACAAGGAATGAAGCAAATTATCATAACGCTGGAAAGCCCTGATATTAAAACTATAGAGAAAACTGGAGAAAAGAATGCAATTGCCAAGGTAAATACATCTCTACTTTTTTTGCATTGCTTGTTGAAGTAGTAGCTATAGCTACATGACTAAATACATGGAAATGATTCTTAGATTTTAGTTTTTCATATTCATGATGTTGTGTGATATATATTTTTATTACAGGCTTCAAAGGAAAATGTTTTACGACAAATTACTGAAGGGAAGGCTCTACTTACTGCTTCAAGCACGGAGGCATTTGCTTTGATCATTGATGGGAAATCTCTTACATATGCCCTAGACGATGACGTAAAAAATATGTTTTTGGACCTTGCAATCAGATGTGCCTCTGTTATATGCTGCCGTTCATCACCAAAACAGAAGGCACTGGTAAGTTGAATTTCACACTCCAGACTCTGCATTTCTGTCCTTTGGCTCTCTCAATCCTCTCTTGTATTTTATCTGTAGTTACACTTTCTAGTCTATTCTAGTGCTTAGTCTGGCTATTCCTTGGAAATATAGGTAACAAGACTAGTCAAATTCGGGACTGGAAAGATAACTTTGGCAATTGGAGATGGGGCTAATGATGTAGGAATGCTTCAAGAAGCTGATATTGGAATTGGAATCAGCGGCGTTGAAGGAATGCAGGTTCAAGAGCTTATACCTTTCTCTTGCCCCTTTGTAGCAACTTTGATGATTTTCAAATTTCTTCTTTTCTTCTACCCACCCTAATTAATTGTTCTTATCATAATTTTTTCTTGTTTTACTCATTAGGCTGTTATGTCAAGTGATGTTGCTATTGCTCAATTCCGATTTTTGGAGCGCTTGCTTTTAGTGCATGGACATTGGTGTTATAGAAGGATCTCTTCGATGGTAATCTACTCTCCTCTGATTTTCTCTTTAAAATTTGTTCTCTCATCATTATTTGGATGAGATAAAAATGTGTTTAAAGAATAAATCTATTGCCTTCCGAGGAACTGTTTCAAAACGCAAAGAAAATATTTGCAAATATTTTGTGGAGCAGTTTGGTAACTGGCTTTTTATATTTGTTTCCCTGCAGATATGCTACTTCTTCTACAAAAACATTGTATTTGGTATCACTGTGTTCTTATACGAGGCATATACATCATTCTCTGGACAACCAGCATATAATGATTGGTTTCTCTCTACTTACAACGTCTTCTTCACATCACTTCCGGTGATTGCTTTGGGAGTTTTCGATCAAGATGTATCTGCCCGATTGTGTCTTAAGGTATGTTAACACTTGATGCAGTATTCATATTTGCTTAATGCATAAGGCCTCATTACTAGTGTTTGCCAAAAACACTTCTCGGACATGACATGGAATTAAGTACTTTTTCTTAGTTTTCTAATTATTGTTATGGTATTATGTCGCAGTTCCCTTTACTGTATCAAGAAGGTGTTCAGAATCTACTGTTCAGATGGCGTCGTATAATTNCAAGAAGGTGTTCAGAATCTCCTCTTCAGATGGCGTCGTATAATAGGCTGGATGGTCAATGGCGCTTGCAGTGCGGTGATAATCTTCTTCTTATGCATAACAGCATTAGATCCTCAAGCTTATAAAAAAGATGGTAAAGTTGCTGGATATGCAGTTGTTGGAGCAACCATGTACACATGTGTTGTTTGGGTTGCCAATTGCCAAATGGCACTCGCTATCAGTTATTTTACCTTAATCCAGCACATTGTAATCTGGGGTGGAATTGCTCTCTGGTACATTTTCCTTCTGATTTATGGAACCATGGCTACAACATTTTCCACTACCGCGTACAAAATCTTCGTGGAAGCTTTAGCTCCAGCCCCATTCTACTGGATCATCATAATATTGGTGACAATTTCTGCTCTACTTCCCTACTTTATATACAATGCTATTCAGACGCGGTTCTTCCCATTGTATCACGGGATGATTCAATGGATAAGGTACGAGGGGAAGTCCGATGACCCAGAATACTGCCATGTGGTGAGACAGAGATCGATAAGGCCCACAACCGTAGGTTTCACTGCTCGTTCATTGGCGAGAACGAATCCTTTGGAAGATAGGAAAGAAAGGAGCAGTAGCCACAGATAACCACTGTTCAAAAGTTGGGAACTTGCTCATTGTACATGTTTTCCGAGCTGGTTCTGTACACAACTACATACATGGAGGCTACATCGTCGAGGTCCAGTTGACGCAACGCTGTACTACTGTACCATGTCTTAAATGGGCAAAGATGCCTCTCAAGTTTGTAAATTTTGTACTGGTAATATAGTATGTAATTCTTTCATTCTATACCTAGTAAAATTGTTGTTGTTGAGCACTAGAAGCAGCATAGCAAATAAGCTACTTTTAATAAGGAGAAGGATTGGATTTGTTTTTAAGTTATAAGACCCAATATTCTCTTTCAAGTTATTATCATCTGTACATTTTTTGAGCAATAAAGAATGAGCATTTCATTTGAACTCTCAAGTCTGGGCACATATTTTATCTTTCTGCAACAATAAATACTAACCAGCCCTAGTCAAATATCATCCCCATCATTGTCTAAAATTTGATCAAACAAACGAATATATTAACGTTTAAGACAGAGTCGGATCTAGAATTTCTAGAATATGGGTGCACCATTTCAGAAAGGAGAAAAAAGTAAAAATTGGGAATCGATACCTATTCCTTTGTATAAATAACTCAATATTCAACCAAATGCACCATTCATCATTTTTGACGCATGAGCGCCGGTAGATAATATTAGACAAATTCTAGAAAATACATACATAAAATACCTAGTTTGACAGAAGAGACTATGGGTTCACGTGTCCCATAATCTAAACTATAAATCCGCCTGTGGTTAAAGAAGCCATATTAGACTAAAATGACGCGACTAAACATCTTATATATACTCAAAAACCACGTCAAATATACCGAGAGAGTATAAGAGGCGAATTCTGAATTTAGAGTAGGTAAGTTTGGAGTGAGTGTGTCTATTATATATACACTACTTTTAAAAAAAATAATTACATGTATTTTTATTTAATAAGCATTGTAAAAGAGCATGTAAGAGTGTCATTGCAAGTTGAAAGATCCAAAGACTTGTATCAAATGAGTATGAAAAACATCATAATCAACTGTTTGTTTCCTTATACATGTTGAAATGCACTTTGTCTCTAAAACCTCCTCTTCATTCCCACCCCAAAAACTTCCAAAAGCAAATTCACCATTTTGAGAAAACTCTTCCAAAACCTTTTCAACTTCTTCAATACAACACAAACTTTGAAATTCAACCCTCAAAGATCCCCCATGATTTTTCAAGATTTCATCTTCATATCTTCTATTCTCAATCTTCATAGTTTTCTTGTTCCGACGTCGATCTCTCAATTTCTTTATACATTCTTTTGTTTTCTTAAACAGTTTGCATGGTAGGTTAAGCAAGAATAAGATGATGATTTGGAGGATTAAGCATTGGCAGCAGCAACATATGACAATGCAATCGGCCGCGATAATGTTTTTGTCTACCATTTTCTGCGCAAGATTGAAGCAGAGAAAGGAGAGGAAGAAGGTAATGAAGAAGGTTATAAATAGAAGTCATTTTTTGTCAAGGAATAGGTTGCTTCTCTTTTAAGAAGGGTATATTGATGTTTGAAGCATGAGAAAATGTGGTTTGCAAAGTTAAAAATGGAACTGGTAGCTTAAAGCAAAATGTGGAAGGAAGCATAAGCTGTCCTATTCTAGTTGACTTGTATTTCATATGTTCATGAATAGCTAGGAGAAGAGCTCTGCCGTTGTGACTTGCTCACATTGCCAGTCTCAAATCCCCGTAAAGGAGACGGGTTGCGATAGGTTGACAATCAACATAAAACGAGTCAATTTACGATGTATGTTTACCATACAGAATAAGTTGAGACGTGCTCACCTAGGCACTATTGGATTAAGATGTGCTTAAATGGAGCGATATGAACAGTGCAGATTTATATAGCCGAGCACAACTTACTTGGGATTGAAGCATACTTATTTGTTTGTTTATGGTTAGCTAGAAGAAGGGTTCACTCAACGGGCTTAATTATTGAGGTCTTTGTCTTTGACTTTTGCACTTACCTTCCAAAGAAAGATATAAGCTTTTCTGAATCTTGCTTTTTGTTCTATTCCTTGTGTCAATAGATGTAAAACTAAGCAAAGCAAAGCAAAAAGAAAACCTTTCCAGTTACAATTTTCTTTACGTGAATGCTAATCATTGGAGTAGAAACCTTCCCATGAAAACTAAGAAATACTAGCAAACTTATCACCAAACTTTAAAGGGCCTTTTCTCTTTCTTTTGAATCCCGTGGTCCGGCCCTTCTCCGGACCTGCACATAACGCGAGGTTAGTATACCGGGTTGCCTTTTTTTTTTTTTTTTTTTTTTTATACTTACTAGTTTTAGAATACACGCGTTGCGCCTGTACCTATCTAAATGAGAAAAAAAATTAAAAATCATTCAAATGTTTTATTAAAAATGATTTTTTGGTGCTAATGTTTGAGTTATGATAAATAAAACCGTAAGTTCCTAAAAATGAGAAATATTGATCCTATATATCAAATTCAATAAAGAAAAAAACTGCCACATAGAAGATCATCCATTAGGACTCGTTTAGTACGAGGGATAAGTGATAATAATTTCAGAATTAAATTTGAGATGAGTTTACCCCACGTTTGGTTGGTATAAAACCGCGGTATAATTAATCGCAGGATTAGTTATCCGGGGATTGTAGTGACTTTTTAAGCAGGCTGAGATCATAACAAACCCAGAATAACTAATTTCAAAATAATCTGAGATAACTTGTTTCCAACCAAACAACCCCTTGTTTTCAACTTAAGTGTATATGGACATCGCTAAGTGAACATTAGATTTTAGAGTTAATATCCAAAAATCCCCCTAAACTATCATGTTTTTGTAAGGTTACTACTTAAATAATTCGGTGTCCCCAAACCTTTCCTGAACTATATTGTCGTTCATATTAAAAACCCCTCATTACATTCTTAGATGTGCGTGTAGTACACGCTCCTAATTATTTAAAAAATGTGCCATGTAGCATTACACGTGGCTATTTAACTTAGCCTAAAACCTGCCTAAACTATTATTTTTTTTGTCAGTTACCTACTTAAACTATCCGGTGTCTCCAAAACCCCCTTGAACTATATTCCGCTATATATTAAAACCTCATGTTGGATTTTTAAAGGTGCGTCTGTCTAACTATATTAACTTATGATTTGTAAAAAGTTTTATATATAGTTTACTCATGATGTATTACTCTCAGATGAATGATTAATTTTAGAGTTTTGCCCAAAATAATATTTAATGTATTGTGTTGATTTTTTATTTAATTGTGATTGTAGTTTATGCTAAACTTCAATTGAATAAGTCCTTATTTATATTCACTTTGTAGCACAATAAAAATATAAATAAATACACATATGGTTGCATTTCTTAAAAATAATCTTATAATACATAAAATGATTACACAAAATAAAATTTCGCAAATAAAAAAATATTTGGCCAACAATTACATTTTCTAATTGCAGATTACATAAAGAAGGTTCAAGATACTCAACTATATTCTCTACAAGGAGTTGAGTTTAATAAGAAGATTTAAATTAGTATTCTTTCAACAATATGTGTAAGACACGAAAGAAGACTAAAATAAGAAAGAGAATAAATCATTTCAGAGGAAACAAAAGAGGAAGAAATCTTTTCAGAGGAAACCAGTATGGAGAACTGAACAAAAAGGGTTAAAAAATGAAGGAGAAGGTGAAAAAAAAGAAGAAAGGTAAAAATAATAAGGAAGAAAGGTGGATATAACTGAAATAAGGAGAATATTTATTAAAAAAACAAATGTGAAAGAGGATTAGGCTAATTAGCCATTATTTTCTGTCATATGAGCCATTTTGATGGGTTTTTTCAGCTGTCACGCGCTTCCAAGCGAGTGTTTACACATGTTATGTCAGGTCAGCAGGGGAGGGTTTAAGGGGGGTTTAGGATATTAACTCTTAGGAGAATTCGCCACTGAGCAGATGATATAGTGGTATTAAAAAAATACAGAAATTTTTAGAAAAAATAAATGTGATCATTTATAAAAATGATATTTATTTGATAATGTTTGGTGGTGGTGGTTGTGGGGCCNGGGGGTATTAGTCCTTATATTTTTTTTATTTTGTAAATCTCATGTTTTATATTATGAAAAATTTCATCTCTAACTTTCTCATCAATATATATTTTTTTTTTTTTGCAATTAATGATAGTTTTATTCAATATAAAATTTCTATCTTTCAAGTTTATTTAAATCACATTGAATTCTAATATCTTTACGTTGTCCAGGTCTAAATCCAATTGAAGTTTAATTCTTGTTTGCTCTTTTCGAACGAGAAAGAAAAACTCAAAAAACAAAAATGATGCATTTCATTCAACTCAAACAGAGATTGTGAGAAATAAAAATTCATGGAGGTATATCAACTTTCAGCCTTTAAATAGATTAATAGAAATTCCTGCCATAGGAAGATGACAATTTTTTTTAGATTTTACGTCCCAATGTATCCGGAAGTTGAATGACAAAAATTGAATTGCTTACTATTGATGACTTCGAAAGGATATGTATGTTAATATTATTTTAGAAGGAGTCAAAATATGGAATACATGTTAAAAATCAGAATTAAAATTCTTTTTTTCATCAATTTTCGGTCGATGTTTAACTTCCATATGTGTCTATAGACAATTCTCATTTTATTTAAGGTAAGTCACATTTGATTAAAAATATTTTAATGGTTTATAATCTCTAAAATACTTTTGTAAGAAAAACAAAATAATTTGTTAAATAAGAAACTTGAGTATTTTAGTTTTTCATTTCTATTGTGAATTTATATATTTGGATTTAAGAAATTGAAAATGTTGAGAAGAGATTTTTATTATTTTAGCAGTGACTTAGATAAAATAATTGCACATCTACTATTTGCATTTGAGATAATAACTCTAACGATTTAATAAAGCACATGTATTTTTAAATTGCTAATTATACAATTAAAGTTATATTTCATAAGAAATTTAGAAAAATAATTATAAATTCCTTACTTAACTTCNAGAAATTTAGAAAAATAAGTATAAATTCCTTACTTAACTTCTATTTTATAATTGTCAAAATATTTCAAAATATGTTATATAAGGAGTTTGCTACTTATTAGCACATTACGGTTATATATTAGATGAATATTGCTTATTACATAGGAATTCTGAGTTGTGATTGTTCTTTATAATTGTTTGTTGTTGTCTAGTTATTTTTGGAGTTATAGGAGTTTTACTTTACATGAGTCTGGGGGAATGTTCAGCTCTCTGTCAATTTTTTTTTTTTTTTTTGTATATAATATTTACTTGGTAATAAAATATCTATAATTACCAAAAAATAAAACAAGTATACACAACAAATCATCCAAGAATAATTACAATATTTTTCAAATAATTTTCAATTTTATTAGAAATACATAATAAATAGTATTCAAATTAAATTCGCCTATCAAAAAGTTTATAGTGTTTGACACGGATAATATCTTTTAGAAAGTTTTAAACACATCTCCGATATGTATGAATTTTGTTTGGAAGGTTAAATTTCTAGAACAACAAATCCTTATTTTTTTTTCTCATAAATACTTTTTGGCTATTGTGCGGAAGGATATAGAAGAAGAAGAAGAAGAATTAATATGCACATAGTTGTAGACATAAATTGAGAGAGGACATTAAAAATAGAAAAACGTACCAATAGTGGTTTGGAATTGTCGCTTCTTAGTTTTTGTCTATAGTTTGATTAGTACACCTTATTTTGAATAGTAAAATCTAACCGGTTTTGATGGCCTAAATATTAGAGCCTAATTACTATACAGTTTAAATAAGAAAAATTTTAACATTTAAAATTTTAGTTGATCTTAAAATCCTATATATCAAAAAAAAAAATTACTAAATGACTATTTTGTCAAGTGAGAATTAGGCAAAATCTTATTAAAATTTTAATAATACAAAATATAAATGGAGTTGAACGACAAACTTTTCTAGTATAGGCAAAATTTTATTGACTACAAAAAGAAGTCTCCTAAACCTAAACCTAAGAAGGAGAATGGAGAAATTTAGTACTCCAAAATATAAATGGAATTAGAAAGACACTTTCCTAGCGTGTAGTGAACGTTTAGGCAAAATTGTATTAACAACAAATGACTATTCCTAAATTGTAGGGAAATTAGTTAAATAATTATACTTAAATATTAATGAAATACTCAAATTATTATATTGTCCAATATTACCTACATATTTTAAAGAGTAAAAAGAGCGAACGATATTTCGCTAAGGGTTTTCGTGCTTTTAATACAGTAAAGATAAAAGATATTGATTTTCTTATCTCTCTCTTTCTGTTTTTTCCCTGCTTTTCTATTTTTCCATTTTTTTTATTCGCGGAAACCGGGGGAGAAGGGGGTGGTAAAGCTTTTAATCTCAAGACATGTAAGTCTCATCAAAATTAACATTTCCACCATTTTGAGAGGAACAAATACATTGAATAAACCTTTTGAAAGAACAAATATTGGAGAAGACAAAAAAATTCCAGTTACTTACAGGAAAAATTGCTACCAAAATAGCAGGGCCTAAATGTAAGTCAACAAAAAAATGAATCTACTTACAAAACCTAACCAACGACTAAGTAAAACCTCGAAGGGGCAATGGTATACCTCTCAACGTAGGCGATTTTGATCTATAAACAGATACATACACTTGCTTTAGCAAGGCCTTTTGGTTGTGTGCTATAGTAACTATACCCTATCTTCAGCCGATTCTCCACTATGGTGTGTACCTTGACTGAAAAAATCAGAACTAAAATCTGGACTACCAAATGCCATCCTTCGAAACAATCTTATTTCTGCAGATTGTTCTGCAGTGTTATATATCGTACTTTCACCAACTTTCATCCCATTTGACAGATCAGAAATATTCAAACTATCAAAAGCTCTCACGATCTGCAAAGAATAAGAACGATTGGAACGTAAATTCCTCTTCATGACAAGTCTTAACGGTGTTTCAGGTGTAGGATTTTAGTGAAATCAAGAATCGGTTACCTGTCCCATTCCTGGTCTCTTAACAGCCGAGTGGCGCACACAAGCTGCAGCTGCTTCAATCAGTTGAAACATCTCGGTTGCAACATAATTATTCTCTAGGCGTGGATCTGCCAACTGATCAAATTCCCCTTTGTCGAGTGCATGATTAAACAAAGGCCGAGCCTGGAAAAGAAAAGAAGATCAAATTGCAGCATGACTCACAAAGTTTTACATTGATACGACTGCAAAAACAATGTTAGGCTGATTCGAAGTTAGGTCCTGTGATTAGTACCAGAATTCAGTTCTAACTGAAAGAATTAGTCTTTTCAGAAACTTCCTACATAGAAGAATGACTGCCATACTTAGTTAGGAAATACAGCTGTAAATTAGGCTACTGACTAAAAATGAAACCAAACGGAAATAAGTGTCATTTTTAGTGGAAGCCTTCTGCTCAGAGTAATATCCAAGAAAATATGCAGACTATAACAACAACAACAACAACAACAACAACAACAACAACAACCCAGTATAATCCCACTAGTGGGGTCTGGGGAGGGTAGTGTGTACGCAGATCTTACCCCTACCCTGGGGTAGAGAGGCTGTTTCCGATAGACCCTCGGCTTCCTCCCTCCAAGAACTACCCACCTTGATCTTGGGGTGACTCGAACTCACAACCTCTTGGTTGGAAGTGGAGGGTGCTTACCACTAGAGCAACCCACTCTTGTCAAAATATACAGACTATGCATTTCTTAAATGTCATCAACACCGAATTGATAGGAAAACATAACTAAAAGCACGTATTAAGCAAAAGTTAGCTAACATCTTATGCTTAAGTATAAAGTTTATCATTCAAAGTTTTGAAATTCACCAATTCAAAGTATTTTAGAATAACACATTATTAAATGGATTTACAATAACTGTAACACTTTAATGCGGGTAATAATGGAGTAGTCTAGTGTGTGTGCAGGCTGGTCTGGGCATGGCCGTATTAAAAAGTTCTAGGTAACATGCCAGGTATAAGAAACGGAAAATTATATGGACTCAAATGTACCCGTACAATACCGAAACACTCCAAAAATGAAGCACCAAATCTGTGTAATTAGTACACAACCGACTTAAGATTTCATCTCAACCACTTAGTCAAGTAAGCTGCAAATAAGTTGGAATAGAGTCAGAGCACCTTAATATCTTATAACATCAAATCTGTCTCCACCCTTTTCTTGCCTTCTATATATCACTAAAGGATATTAAAAAGTACTATTTTTCATGAACAAGAAGAGCAGCACTCTCAGCAATTTGTATTTGGTCATTGTTTTAAAAATTAAGCTTTTCAGCAATTTTGTTTAAGTTTAAGTAGGCAACTATACAGTAACAAGTTCTGTTGCAACACTCTATTCCCTAAAGTTTAAAAGGACACACATACTTTCCAGAGGCAAATATTTTGATAGTTTCTCCACCCTATGTTTCCAGGATAGAGGTCTGAATTTCGTTAAAAGGAACTTCTAGCATAGAAACCTCATGCTACTCAGAACATTGGCTGGCTAATGTGCTAGAACAAAGAAACCTAAAAGAGAAAATATTTTCGAAGAGGTGCGACTAGACAATTGCTGCATACAAGCAGTGTAGTACCAATGGCGATTTCTTCAAACATCATCCACCAAGTTTTCGTACAGTGTGGAAAATGACAGGGTGAATCACATATCCGTTTTAATATGAAATGTAGAGGTTATCCTAGTGAAATGGACAAAAACAGTACTTGTACTCTGCGCATGCAGATATGTTAACTTGTAACTACGACAAAAAATCAAGACATAATTCTCACATAACATGGAGAGAGGCTGATGAAAGAGACCTCATGCGACTTTGGACTAAGAGAAAGAAGAGATTGGTTTGGCTACAAACATACCCACTCAACTAGACTCTCCTCCCCTAAAGGCTGAGATGTATCAACAGGCTTCCGTCCAGTAATTAGCTCCAGAAGCACAACCCCAAAAGAATATATGTCAGATTTTTCAGTCAGCTTGCCGCTTGATGCATATTCAGGAGCCATGTAGCTGAAAGNACGCTTGCTGCATAGTAGCAGTGTCGCACTAAGTTCTTGTGCGGGGAAAATGACAGGATGAATCACCAAATCTTATTTAACATGAGATGCAAAGGTTGTCCTAGCGAAATGGACACAAACAGTACTTATACTGCAGATGCAGATACGTTAACTTGTAACTACAATAAATAACCAGAACATAATTCTCACATAATATGGAGAGAAGGTGATGAAAGAGAGAGAGAAAGAAGAGATTGGTTTGGCTACAAACATACCCACTCAACTAGACTCTCCTCCCCTAAAGGCTGAGATGTATCAACAGGCTTCCGTCCAGTAATTAGCTCCAGAAGCACAACCCCAAAAGAATATATGTCAGATTTTTCAGTCAGCTTGCCGCTTGATGCATATTCAGGAGCCATGTAGCTGAAAGGATCCAAGGAATTAGAATAGACACATAGAAAGAAGGAATGTAGTGCATTATTTCCTATTTTCCAATTAGTGTTAATTTTGGTGCAGGAACATACCCAAATGTTCCAACAACACGTGTTGTAACATGAGTGTTTGCATCCTGAGCTAATTTTGCTAAACCAAAATCAGAAACCTGTGGGGAAAAAAAAAGAATTGTAAGGCAGTTTACGAGTGAAAGAATGTGAATAATGGAGTTTGAGGATGTTGACATACCCGAGCCTCGAAGTTACTATCCAAAAGAATGTTTGATGATTTAATGTCTCTGTGGATAATTCGGGGATTGCCTGTTATCACCAAGAGAAATGAACAACACAAAAGAAGAGTGATAATAATGAAATCCATAGTTAAAGAATGCAAAAAAAAAAAAAAAAAAGGTTAAACAATGATAAATAGAATAAGTGCACCGCGTAAATATTACAGGCAACAAGAACAAAGGGGTTGTGTATTACAGATCAGACCAATAGAATAAACAAAGAGAATATAATCAACCATAACTATAAGAATAAAGGAAGAGAAAGAAAGTTACAATCTTCATGCAGATAAGCTATTCCACGAGCTGCACCAACAGCAATCTTAACACGTGTTGTCCAATCCATAACAGGCCTTCCAGCCGCTGTAAATTTCATGTATCCACATCTAGTTTTAGTGACCAAATGTCAAAAGTGAGTTTGAAAGAAAAATAAAAGATTTGTATTTACCATGAAGATGAAAGTAAAGGGTGTTATTTGGGACATAGTCATAAACAAGGAGCCTTCTACTCTCAGAAATGCAATAACCTACAAGGGAAACCAAATGGCGATGGTGTACTCTACTGATGATTTCAACTTCAGCTCTGAACTCCCGGTCTCCCTGGCGCCCACCAATATCTAGTTGCTTTACTGCTACATCCCTCCCATCTTCTAGATATCCTTTGTATACAGAACCAAATCCGCCCGCCCCCAACAAATTCTCAGCCGAGAAGTCATTAGTAGCCTTAACTAGTTCTTCATAGGTAAACCATATCTTTGAATTTCCCAATCCACCAGATCCTGCAGGAGAAATTAGGAAATTGGAGGCAGTTCCGTTTCCAGTCCCAGGTGTTGATTCTTGTATCTTCAATAAGACAGACTCTGCACATAATTTGCACTCTTCTCAGATTGTAATTTATATTTTTGAACCACAAATATTACATTGATGTTGCTTGAGAGCATCTGAAACATTTATTGACGTGCTAATGAATGATATACTAGCTAGTGAAAAATTACCAGATTGTGGGGTGGAGCCAACAGAGGTTGGCATGACATTCTCGCCATTGAGGAGAAAAGCCTTTTTCTTTCGCTTCCACATGCACCAACCCACTGCTCCAATAATACTAAGCAATAAAACAGCAAGAACAACGCCAATGGCAACTGTACCTCCAGTCCCTATGCCGCTACTACTCGGACTGTTTGAGCTATCCGCTGCATTATTACTTGACCTATTGGTAGTGGTGCCATCTGAAGGAACTGGTGGTGAAGGAGGTGGAGTTTTAGGAGGTTCCAAGGACGGTGTAGGAGGTGAACTTCGTGGTGGCGTAAATGCTGGCGATGGAGGTGAATTCGCAGGTGGGGGTGGTGAAGGGGGTGAAATTTTAGGAGGGTCAGAGGCTGGGGCAGGAGGTGAACCTTGTGGTGGTGGAGAAACTGGTGATGGAGGTGGATTCACGGGCGAAGGTGGCGGAGGGGATGAACCTTCCGGAGATTCAGGAGATTGTGGTGGTGGAGTAGGATCCGGATTCTGTGGAGGTGGCGGAGAAGATGTAGGTGGCGGATCAACTTTTGGTGGTGGTGGAGATGAACTTGGAGGAGTGGCTGGTTGTGGTGGAGGTGAGATAGGTGGAGGAGGATCAGCTTTTGGAGGCGGTGGAGGTGAATTTGTTGGAGGAGTTGGTTCTGGAGGAGGTGAGGTAGGTGGAGGCTCAACTTTCGGAGGTGGTGAGGAACTAACTGGTGGGCTGGATGGAGGAGGAGAACTAGTAGGCGGAGGAGACACCGGTGGTGGTGAACTAGTAGGCGGAGGAGAAGATTGAGGTGGCGGTGAACTAGCAGGCGGAGGAGAAGGTTTAGGTGGAGGCGAGGAAGGTAAAGGGGGAGGACTAAAAGTCGGAGTTGTATCATTTGTTGGAGGAGCGGAAGCTGTTGGTGGAGAAGCCATCGGAGGAGGCGATGTCACGTTAGGAGGGGATTGCGGTAGAGGTGGTGAGGCCGGGGAAGGAGACGTTGCATTTGTCGGAGGAGCAGATTGAGGAGGCAAGGTTGGAGGAATCGAAGACACGGGTGGTGCTGTTGCATCAGGCTGAGATGCAGGGGCCGGAGAAGAAAGCTGAGGAGGTGGAGTTAAGACAATTGGCGGAACAGGAAATGGTGCAGAAGTTGGAGGTGGAGAAACAATTGACATCCCACCACCACCAAAACTAGCTAAATTTACACCATCTCTTAGATACTATCAAACTCTCCAAACATCAATGAAAATTACCACTATTCCAAGAATTCTACTCGAAGTTCAGACTTGCTCTAACTGATTTTTCCCCAAAAAGTTATCCAAATATGCAATAAATTGGTCTTTCCTATGTTAAAATTGGTATCCTAGAAGATACAAATTTGTAAACCTATTCACTCCCAAGAGAGATAAAGCAATCCACTCCAGTTCCAAGCAAAACACCTAGGAATTTCAGAACAAAAACCAACAAAAGATTCAAACTTTCACGAAATTCAACTCATTAAACATGTGGGCTGCCAAAAAACAACAAAAAAGACTCGATCTTTAAACAAATTCAATCAGAATTCATATTGACCTTTACCTAATTCATCAGATACATAGATTAGCGAATTCTTATACTACAACAACATACCCAGTGTATTCCTACAGTGTGTGGTCGGGAGGATAGTGTGTACGCAGACCTTACCCTACCTTGTGGAGGTAGAGAGGCTGTTTCGAGAAGACCCTCAGCTCAAGATACATTACCAAATTATTATCAGAATCAAAATCCCAATCTTGAACAAACTTACCAAATCAAGAAACTGAGATTACTTACAACCCTTATAGCAAAAAAAGAAAAAACCCAGATCACCAAATGTAGAATCAATAAATACCAAGATCACCTCATAGAAAACTACAAAAACCCAAATACCCAAATCAAGAAAAGACAGATAAAAAAAATATTTCCAATGTAAATTCACACATAAAAATTCAATCTTTCTAACCAAAAATCTAAATTAGCAAGAACCATAGAAGTAAATCCAATTGTGAAGATAACAATTAGATAAACCAAAAAAGGGAATTTCTTTTCTTTTACCTTTTTTTTTTTATGGCAGTGGCATGATCAAATGCAAGAACCAATCTTTAAAATACAAAAACCACAAAAAAGAAAATTTATGTAAACCTGGGAAGTTCAGACTCAAAGGGTGAACACGGAAAGTGGGGTCAGATAAATCCAATTTCTAGTGTGCCCCAACAGTGAAAGCGACAACCTTTTACACGTTGAAAACTATATGTGTATTTATATGAATATGATGTTTTAGATGGTGTCATATAAAAGTCATTTTTGTTATGATTATTAAATTAGTTTTTCTTGCTTCTTAAAACGTCAACATCAAAATGCACAACATTTAAAGGTAAGGTTGCGCAACGTTGCAGCTAATGATAATCAAACTTGTTGCTTTGGCTTTTTCACAAGCCTAAAATTTTCTACTCTATATTAGTAGTATTATTTTATGTTCGGAATAACATATTTTGATTTTAAGGAGTATGGATTCAATCTTTAGATTTTTATCATTAAATTAATTAGTTTTAAAATTATGAGGTCAAAAATTACGATTTATTAATATTTTAATAATTTTTTCATATATTTTTATGTCCGGTATCCATAATTTTAAGTTCATACAAACCCAATTTATATTCTCCATATACCAGTGATTGCTATCTTTCACTAGCGTAAATACTAAGTAACTCTATTTATAAATACTTAAGAGCCCGTTTGGCCATGAATTTTTTTTCTTTTTTTCGAAAAATTTTCACTTTTTTTCGAAATCAGTGTTTGGCCATAAAATTTTCAATTTCACTTGAAAATAAATTTTGAAATTTTTTTAAAAATTTGAAAAACTCCAAAAAGCTGTTTTTCAAAATTTTCACTCAGATCACTTACAAAAATTCAAAAACAACCCAAAATTATATTGATGTCCAAACACAATTCTAATTTTTAAATAGCATTTTCACTTAGAAAAAAAATTTCATTTTTTTTTAAAATTTTACAATTCTTATGTCCAAACGCCAACTAAGACATGAAAAGGTCATCTAGTATTTTTTTTAAACTCAAATATTATCTTTAGGTCAACACCCTTGTGCATGAAATCTCTAGTCTTTATTACCACTACATCGACATCTATTTTTAACTAAGTGGAGTTATTATCTTTTTCCTTTTTAACTCCACTTCAGTCGTCAATAGAATCAACAATTGACTTTCACTTACTAACCTTAAACCACAAATTATGATTGCCGATGTATTTTACCAACTAAATACATCTCTCTTGTCTTATTAGTTTTTGTAACTAAATTGATATCAGTAACGCATAATTTTGTATCAAGGAATCCTCACGAGACCTTAAATAAATCCATATAGTTAGAAATACTAGACCAAAAATTAGTATAATTAAGGAAAGCTGAAAGCCTAAGAAATCAATAATATGTTGCATTTTCATAGATAGTCGTTTGCTCTTTTTAATAGTTGTACATAATATGTAGTAAAAATAGTATGTGGTAGCTAATTTTCTGACTGGTAATTGAACAATAGCTCGCATTATAAAGTCATTGAAAAATAGCCACTATTTTATGCGGAGATAAAATCTGGACAACAATACCTTATCTGAAACACGAAAAGTTCCAGCATAATATGCTGGATTATGGAGCTCATGCATATAAACTTCCAGTATATTATGTTACTCCAGCAGATTATGAAATTCCAACACAATATGCTGGAATTTCATATGTAAAAAATTCAAACTTTTGCATATTATGCTGGAACTTTTTCGTATTTTAAGTGTGTTTTTGTTCAGATTTTATTTTTACATGAAAAAATGGCTAAATTTTTATTACTTTTGAAACGATGGTTAATTTGTAATTATCAGTTATAAATCAGGTTATTTCTACATGTCATACGAAACAAGCTTAGAAATCTCGAATTTGATTCTTTATATAATTGAGCAACTTAAATTATTTTCACTTTTAGGGTGATAAAAATAACATTTTTTAGACAACAAGACAAAAAAAAATTAATATTTTTTTGTCCAAACTTGATTTTTACTAACTCGTCATATATACTTTGCTTAAAATTCCTTCTTTTTCGTTGTCAACATTGTAAATGCCAGTACTTAGAAAATTCTTAGTGTGATACTTGTTTATCACAATTTACTGTAAATAGATAGTAGTATATAATTAGGTGTACGTAGACTCCATTCCTGGCTAAACTGCAATAAACCAAGAGAATTTTCGATCATGACTGGAGTGAAATGCAATAAATACTACTATAAATAATTTCTTTTGTGCCTTAAAAATTAAAATAAAAAATTGTCATATACTACTTATTATGAAAATCTTTCCAACTATGTGACTTAACTTTAAATCAATTCCACCGTTTACCAAGCCAAAATAATTACTAAATAAAAAGAAAAATCGCCCCTTTGACCTTGTCAACGAATAGATGTGGCGTTCAATGTGGGCACATTAAAAGATAAAAATAAAATAAGATAAACGAAAATAAAATATGAGCTCATTAATGGTTTTTTTAAAGTTGAAATTTAATGAGTCTGAGCTTCATTTGCAAACTCAAGAAAAATTAGCGAGACCAAATTGAAGTTTTTTTTTTTCAATTTTTTTAATTACATACAAGTAATATTAAAATTTTCAAAATATTTCTGGTATGGCACACAGAGCCAAAGGATGCTGTTAATATTTGATTGATAACATGACTTCAATTATTAGTATTAGGTGCCTCTATTTGCATATTGTTTAAGAAAAATCATACATTACTTAGCTTAGCTAAGCAAACATTAATTTGTCAAACCTTTTTTTGTTGCTTTAATCAATATGGTCCTACATCAATTATGTGCTGATGATTCCTTAAAATTCTTAGTTATTATGAAACAGAAGTTTTTCTTAAAATAATTTGTATAGAAAAATTCAATCAAGATAATTACTAATTAAATCAGGTCATATATGTTTGATTTTTCAAGGCTGTTTTTATTTTTTACTTTAATCTAGTAATTGACAGTTATATGCTTGTTGTCATTAAAAAAATTAAAACTCATTTATTTAGTTACAGAAGGAATATCATTAAAATGATGTTCTAGTATTAAATAAAGATTCCACTTGCTGGAACATTGTTGTTTTAATTTTTGTAAGCAAATTGTTAGAATTTTAGACATTATGTACTTTGAATAGAAAAAAAAAAGTAATCTTCTTTGGACAACTTAGATGTCTCAATCTGATTATAACAATCAAATAAGTAATAGTTATCACAATTCTTATATGTGACCCAAAAATTTCAACGTTGGTTATAAAGGTTAGAGAAATACGCAAAGTATCAAATTACAATTTTTGTTTTCCAAAGATATTAGAAAAAAATTGGGAAAATAATATTTCAACCAATGAAGAGACTTTCTCTTAAAATAAATAGAAAATAAAAGGGATGAAAGCTCCCTTTACCTCCAAATACAAACAAAGCAAAAAACAAGTTTTCTAGTTGGTTGATGTTGAACTATTCTATTCTATTCTATTCATTGACTTTGACTGGAATTTATTTATTTATTTATCCAAATCAACTTATTAAAATATTATAACGCGTTATTTTTGTTCTGATTTTTGTTAGCATTTATGGTGATTTATTCCCTGATTCCCTAAATGACAAATCCTCATGGGATTCTCACAGTCTATTAATTAATTAAATCCTTAGTAATAGTGACATTATTTAATTTAAAATTTTAAGATTAACTTATTACAACTTGTAGTGTTTATTTTCAAATCACCTTTGTTCTATACGTGGTTGTGCACGTGAGTGACGGTCAAAGTCTAACTTTTACATGCACAAAGTACAAACCCAATTAGTATTTTAATGTAAATCCAAACATATCATGTCACTTTCATGGTATTCTAACTTTTTTATAGATAGTTCTTTTTCTCTAATAAATTATCAATGCTTTTCGATTTTTAAATATTAGTCGTTTTGACATTCTAAATTTGTTTCAAAGTATATTACTATGTTTTCAAAAATAATATTTTTTTTTCCCAAATCTATTTTCAATTAAAGAAGTGTTGATTAAATGAGCGTTATTGCGAACAAAATTGATGGGGTAAAAAATGGGTTTTTACATAAATAACCAGCTTAATTAAGTGTTTATTTTTTTTAGAAATGTACATAGATTGTACTCTAATTTTACATGGTTATACATATATTATTCATATATTATACATTCACCGACTGTTTTTAGTTTAAACGATTGGATAAATAATTATTTAAAATTAATTCTTCTAAAAATATTATACTCGCCGGACCATACATTGAAGTTAAACTCCTCAATTTTACTCACTTTCTATAAAAATCACTTCATATGGCCCAACATATGCCCATATATCATGTTAATAGTTAAGGAAAAAAAGCATAAAAATGACATTCTTCTCTTCTTTTTTCTTTTTTTGACGAAGAAAGGAACACGATTGAGTGTCTGTCAAATGAGCGAGTCATTGACCTGATTCCTACAAGGAGGTAACTTTACTTATTCAATAAAGTACATAATTTTTCACTAGTTTTCTTGAGCAAATTATGTCTTGCTTTTTTGGGGGGAATCTTAAGTAAAACGAAATGGGAATCACGTACTTTTGTTAAGTGGTTAATTGTCGGTGGAACAAAATGTGGGCTTTCTCCTATTTTTCTTTTTTCTCATTTTGAATAATAACAAATTTGAATATTGGCTGAATTTGTGGGTCTAATTGCATGTAGACAGTAATGCATTTTTGCACACTTTCTTTTTACGCACTTTGTTAGGAGCATATTTGTAACGACCCAACTTCATAATAGGACGTGATAGCGCCTAACGCCGTCGCTAGGCAAGCCAACTGTGAACTAGTCACGTGATTTTTTTTTTTTAACAAATTCTTTTCCAAGTAATTACACTTTCCTTAATTTAAAAAGAATTTGAGATATAACAAATCTAAAATAAATAACACGAAAGCAACTGTGTGCAACCATATTGATAGAATAAAACCAAAACCGCAAGTCTACTAGTGTGTGTCTAAACCGGGCATCACAAGTGTATGAGCATCTAGTAGAATATACAAAAGAATACTAGTCTACTGTCCGAAGTGAAATAGACAGAAAAATACAATCAAAAA